GCCTCGTGGCAGGGGCAACAAGGGTGCCGGGCCGGCCGGGCCTGGAAGCGTCCCCGCCACTCCTTATTCCGCTAGAACGCCTTCCTGACGCCCACGTGTTCTTCCATGTGTTTGTGTTGCGAGACCCCATCCTGGCTGTGTCCAGTGCCGTTTACAGTGTAGGCAGTTGGGGCCCAAGCAGCTCAGTAATTTGAAGAAAGTCGCAGTAACGAGGAGTGGAGATAGCCTTAGACTTGTCCTTTTCCTAAGCGTGCACTGGAGTTCTCAAGGGTGCCCTTAGGTTTCCCAAGCATGCTGTGGGGTTCTCGTCGTTGGTTCCCGCCTTCCTTTGGCCGGTTAAGTGCCGGGCGGCGGGGGAAAAAGGGACTACTTAAAAGGACTTCTAGCAGTTACGCGAGCGAGGAAAATACGCACGTAAAGTAAAACTTGTGGAAGTGTAAGAAAGGAAATGAAAATGTAGTAGAAAAACTGAAGGAGGGAGCTTCTCTACTCGGGCTGTGCCAAGAACACCTCTCTCGGATGATTTTCAGCTGCTATTTGAATGGAGCTGAGAAGCTGGCCATGCAGTGGCGCAAAAGAGCTTGGCATGTCTTAGAAATTGCTTGGAAGACCCAACAAGTTGGGAAAGGGGTTGGTGTTATGCGGTGAAGCTGGAAGTGCAGACAGTGGCCAGATCACACAGAGCTTTGTATTGTAGTTTGATTTTTAACTGCAGTGGGATGCCCTTGAAGGATTTTGTTTACCTGTTCCAATATATGTCCTGTGAACTCTTGAGTGAGTATGCAGGTATGAATGAACTACAGTGTGCAGTAGAGGCTTTATGTGGCACAAAGATGAACTTTGATCTTCACTGCCAACACAAATATGTCTGGAAATTGCTTAGGAACTAAAAGATATTATCTCCCCTATTGGTGACATTCTTACTTTGTTTTATTTTTGAAGAAAAATCACAAAAGAACTGTCTCTATAAAAGAAAAAATACACTTTTGGTGGGGCCCAATGGTAGTGCAATGATAAAAAACTATGAGGCTGACCCACTTGAGAATATTCAAGGTTCATGTCTAGAGACCTCCCTGAGTGCACCAGGTACACCCATGCCCATGATTCAGGGCTGGCTGAAGGTGGGAGTGGATTGTGGCATCCAGATCCTAAAGAGCCCCCTGCCTCGGGTTCACGGAAGAAATATAATAAAATCTTTCCTTTACTTGGAAGAGGGCACATGCACTCCTGGAGCGTGAAAAGGCAACCCCCACCCCAACCCTTTGAATGGGACATAGTCAGACCGCAATCTATTTCTCCATCCCTTCATGATTTGGGGCACACAGACACATGCACTGGGTGTGTTTTTCAGCCACCAGGCTAGGATTTAAACCACAGTTGGCCATATGGGATCCATTTCTCTATGTGCAGGCCTTACTGCATTCTGGGGCTGGCCCTAAAATAATTTTTTTTTTTTTAAAGAAAATACACTTTTTTGGGAAAGCTGATAGAAAAGGGAATAAAACCAAAATTTCTTAACTTTGTTTCTATTAGGGGTCTCACTGAGAGATTAGTTTACTTTCATGGTTTCAAGGGTCCCCTATATGGTGATGGTTTCTAAACCTAAATTGTTAGCCTAGGCCTTCCCTATTTTCAGCTCAAATGTGCCATGCTAGCCTGTTATCTGCCTGGATATCTCACAGGCACCTCAGACTCAAATGACCAAAAGTGACCCCTTTTCTTCTTTCCAAAACGAGATCTCTTCTGTTGGGCTCCTCTGTTGCCTGAATTCTTATTTCAACTGCAAGCTCCCTCCATCAGCTCACTCTAGCCAAACACACGGGATTGTCCTGGACTCCTTTTTCTCATCTTCTATCTCTACCCCACATCCAGTGTCCCTTTGCCCTACTTCTATCTCCTGAATCAACTACTTATTCTCTGTTTTTTTTGTTTGTTTGTTTGTTTTTTTAAGAGAGATTTTTGCCATAGGTAACATGTACCTTCCAGAAAGACAGGGAGACAGAAAGCAAGAACCCACCTCCCCCCACCTGAGTTTGAAGCCACCGGGTCCAGGACCTGAACCATGATCAACTCCACGGGAGTCCAGCAACATAACCATTATGCCGTCTGCTGGTCCATGATCTTCTTAACTCCATTTGTGTTCCCCTTTAATTTTCCCTCCACAAACCAACCCAAGATCAACTAAAAGCAGTCTGATCACATCGCTGCCTTACTTGAAATTTAGGGTCTGTGAGTTCTGATCTGTTATCATCTGTTCTTCCCACCTAACACCATAAGTGACTGCCCCATGCTTCATCAATAGAACTATTTGTGATTCCTGGTCTACAGCACACCATTTCTCACTTCTCTGCCTTTGTTTCTTCTGTTCACTCTGCAAAGAATTCCACTCTCAACAATCAGCTCAGTATCACTTCTTTCAAAGTTGTTTTTCATAGCATCTCAGCCCCCACTCCTCTAGGATGATTCTAAAGCATCCAGTGTGTCTCTATTGTAGCACTTGGCTACATTGCTTCTTAATTATCTGCAAAAGTGTCATTCTTCTCCCAAACACTGTAAGCTTCCATCTGTCTTTGCTGAAAGTGCAAGCACATTGACCATAGAAGGCCCAAGGAACAGCAGGTGAGGTGCAATATGTGTGGGGCTAAGAAAGCCATTCAGAGCCTGTGGTTCAAACCCCTTCAGTGACTCAAATCAAGGGCCTCCCGTCACCAGGTTTATACTAGTGCTCTGGGGCCTGGTCTGGTTAGTGCTTATCACTCCCAGAGTTACTTGTCTCCTACCTCTTATTTACCACCATATTCACACTGCATAGAGTACAGCCGACCTTAAAAAATAACTCTGCAGAGTGAATGTTGCAGACAGTAATTAATGGGGGGGGGGCTGCCACAGCTGTGCTACATCAAAATAGATACACAGATTGGAAATAGCTTGACCTGACATTTGCCTCTCATTGACAGGCTCAATTTTTTCTGCACCTTGGGCATAGTGAAAGAAATATGAGATTTTACCCTCATCTAAACATGCAACTCTCTGTCAGCAACAAAAATACCATTGTGTTGAGGCCAGCTGGTGGCATAGTGGTTAAGGCAGCTGGATCCCATACTGCCAACTTCATGGTTCAAGTCTTGAACTCAGTGGCTTGAAAACTGCTGGGCATGCCTGCCTGCATTCCCAAAATCCCAGGAGAAGATAGAGAAGAAGGGTTTGCAGTGCAGCCATCCTCCCTGGCCATCCTCCCTGGGGGGTGCTTTTTCACTTTCCCTGTCTCTCTGGCGAGCACACACACAATATGACAAAATTTTAAATATATAAATATGTGCGTGTGTGTATATATACACATACATATATACACATACACACATACATACAATTGTGATTTTAGGAACAAATTGGAAATCATAGAACTGCTCAAAACAGTGGGGGCCACCTTGTGGCTTGGTGGTTAAGGCAGCTGAATCCCTCAGTTCAAGTCCTTGACCCAGCGGCTTGAAAAATACACCAGACACCTATACATGCATACCCAAAATCCCAAGAGGAGAATGGGTGGGAAGAGATTACTGTATGGCCATCTCCCCTGGGGTTTGCTTCCTTGCTGTTCTTCTCTCTGGTGAGCACGTGCATCCTACAGCAAATAATAAAAAAAATGAAATGTTGAACATGCAAGACCATAAAACTGTCACTGTGGTTTTAGTTCATGAGGGCTCTTTCATTCCAATACACTTAATCAGTCATATACTCAGCATTTATGAAGAGTCAACTGTGTGCTAATTTCATGGTCACTGTTGACACTGGAAATAACAATGAACAAAACAGCCTCTGCCTGTCTTATTAGTTCTCCAACTTTAAACATGTAGCATCTACTAAAACTGGAGTTTTTCCCTAAAAACAACCTTGTAACAGTTTCATTTGCATTATTACTTTCTTTTGGTGGCACATAAAATAACAGTACATCTTAAAGTTGATGACATCTTGGACTCAGTGCAGGTAATGAGACGAGCATTTCTTCCTACTAAATGGGTTCTTTTGACTGGAGGGTTATAATAGAAGCTGTGGGTGTTTGGGCACTGGGGGGGGGGTTGTCAGCATATCACTCTTACCTCCTAAAATGGCTCCCGTCCTCTTTTCTCATTTCGAAACTTGTATTTACTATGCTTGTTACAAGTTTCACTTTCGTGTTCTTACTTGTTTAGAAATAACTAAACCTATACCATTGTCATAAACTTAAGTTGTATTTAAATTAAAGAAATTTAGCCCTAAAAAAAAAAAAAAAATCAGGTAGCAATGGTGGAACAAAACTGCTTCAGATGTGTGCTTTCCTTTTCAGAGTTTTGAAAGAACTTATATAATGGGCATTTCTTTGTTACTCTAATGCCTCAAAATTGGTACTTTGATTTTATCAAACTAAATTCCTAGATGGAAACAAGTAATTTTTATACATATGTTGAAAATAAATGTTTTTAAAGGGGAGCACACTTTTGATAGACACTAGGGGGAAAGAATCATCTTACTATAATTCAGCAGTGAAACTTGCTTTACTCTTACAGACTGCTACATAACACAAGACTCCGAATCTTGACCCAACTGTAAACCTCACATGTATTCTAAAGGGGGCTAAATCCCAAAGGCTAGGTGACGGTTTTCTGATAACTATGCATTTGTACATAGCAAGCTTGGGCCTGCCCAAGGATTCAGTTCCACTCTTCTTGCCTCCTGGGATTGAAACCATCGGAACCTGTTTTCACATCTAGCTCCCTTTCCTGCCCACTGTCCAGTATCTCTATTGCTTTACCGTGTCAAGATCTACTGTTCTCCCTTACAGGCCCTTTGTGATCGTATTGTTCCTCTCCCTGTAATAGATGTGCATTGTTCGCAACCTAATGGCGTGGCCTAATATTGCGTACAGTAGACTTGAGATACGTACTTTTAAGAGCCATCCAAGGAGATAAATGCATACTGTGCTGTTTTTCACTGAGAAAAGCCAGAATACAGAACATGATGGCTTTTTTTTTTTAAGAATTATTTTACTTAATTTTATTTACTATTATTTTTCAATTTGACCAGAGAGAGAGAGTGAGAAAGCAAGCCGCCAGGTCAGTAGCTGTGTGGGAGTCCAGCGCCTTAACACCCCACCACTTGCCAGCCCCCAGAACATGATGACGTTTAGGTCACATGCACATGCTTTTCCATATTACATGTAACCATTCTGTAAATGCTTAAGAAAGAGCTTGAAGGGTACATAACAGGTAAGTGACATTGGTCCCTCTGAGGAGGAGCCTGAGATTTGGGAGGCAACAAAACAGGGTGAACTTTTTTTTTTTTTTTAATTTCCTATAGGGCATGAGTACCTGCTCAAAAACTGAAAAACAGAGAAAGAAAGAGTAAGAAAGCACCACCCCCCCCCGGGGGGGATAGCCACAACCCAGTCCCCTCCTCCATTCTCCTTTTGGAATTTTGGACAGACACGCTTGCACATGTGCCAGTGCATCTTTCACGTTGCCTGGTCTGGGACTTAAATCACACATGTGGGATTCAGCTACCTTAACCACCATGCCACCAGTTGCCCCCCAAGATAAACTTCTTCTTAAGTTTGGATGATATACATCAACTTTTTTGCAATAAATACGTGTTTGGTTAGTTAGGAATCTATCTTAGTTGCAGTTTGACAGAACATGCAAGCCACAGATTTTAAGGGGAAAGGTGAAGTACAGTTTTGTTGCAGGAGCTCAGCTGTTGGTACCAGAACCCAGTGTTTCTGTGTCACCAACATTGCCACCTCATTCTCAGACACATTCCTCATACATGGCAAGGTGGCCGGGCACAGATCCACATTGCATCGTCTCCAAGTCTGATGGGAAAGAGCCAGAGACTTGACCACAGCCTGAGTGAAGGATCTTAACCTGTGACAGATCGTCCGTCCATCCTTGAGTTAGGCCTGTGGCTGAGGGACCTCGTGCTAATTTCGCATAAGCCAGATTGCTGCTACCTCCCCACTATCACCACCTCCTCCATGGGGTGAGACCCTCCAGTCTTCAGCCCCTCTTTACGTGTCCTGGCTGCAGACGGATAGCCGGGAAAGGGATAACGCTAGCCATTGACACCAGCACGCATTGCCTCTTTCCTCACCTCATGCAATAGCCTGTGTCCTCAAAAACCTCTTTCTAGTTTTAAACTTCATGCCTTTCTGGTTACCTTATAAAGCATTTTGTTTTGTTTTGTTTTGTTTTTTAAAAAAAGAAGGGACCAGTAGATGGTGTAATGGTTACGTCGCTGGGCTCCCATGTAGTCAACCACAGTTCGAGTCCTGGACCCAGTGGTGTAAATGCAGCATGGATGTGTGTGCATACGTGTCCAAAACCCTAGGAGGAGACTGGAGGAGAAGGGATTGTGGTGTGGCTAACCCCCCGGAGGGGATGATTTCTCACTTTTTGTCTCTCTGTCTCTGTCTTTGGTGAGTGCTTTCTGTCTCTGTCTGTCTACCAAATGCACACACCATATAGCAAAAATTTCTCAAAAAAATATTTGTATGGGGGAGCTGTTGCTTTTTTGTGAGTATACTGAACAGGCCAGTGCTATGAGCCTGTTTGCCACCTCCAGCATCTAATGAATGGCTGTCTGTCTGCAAGTCACAATCAGTCAATGGGTTTGGGTGTTATTGGTCTGACCTATCCATTTTCAGATTCCTTGGTAACTTTTCATCTGACATATTTTAGCCACTGAAGCTCCTTGCCCAGGTTCATTTATTAACTAGGGAAATGCGGGATCTTAGAATATGACTGGATATGAGTGCAGGTCACTATGGCCAGTTACTGCAATGATGACCGCGGTAGGCTCAGCTCTGGAGAACTTTATTGCTCATACCACACTTAGTCATCAACCCGAAGTCCTCAGGCCTGACTCGGGCAGAGCAAGAGGAAAGGAAGGCAAGTTGGCACATCTTCTGCCCAGCCCTTACCTTAATTAACTAATTTTATTGGAGTTTGCAATTAAGTGTGGAACTGTCACAAAAGAATCAAAATACACTGTTGCAAAATTACTGATATGAGAAAAGGTCTTTAATAACTTTGAAATCAATATGAGTAAAATAGGATAAGCTCACTCTGAATTTCAGCATAAAGCACAGTCCATCAAAAGGGGTCTTTGTGTTGCTTTTTAATCATCTTTTGAGAGATTGATATTGCATTGATTTCAAACGTACTTGTTTACATTCATCTCATTATCCTATTTTGCTATTCCAAAAGATATTTCCTAATACTTCCTAGGAAGTTATTAATAAAGCCAATTATAACACATATCAACTTTGAGGATTCTGTTTATTTTCTGATTTTATGGCCCCTGGGCTTGGACAATCCAAGAGTGTATACTAAACCTGCCATTTTGTGGTATCCTGTGTCACTCAACAAGGTACCTGGAATCAACCCAGGAGATAAGAGAATGCACAAAACTGGTGGCTTAGTCATAAATGATTAAGTCAGAGGTGGGCCTCTCAAGTCATCAGTGAGAACAAGACCAGCAACCCAGGTGATGCTGCTTAGACAGGCTAAAATTACCCAGTAAGTGATCAATGGTGTGAGAAGGGAGATGGAGAGATAGCCACATTTGACCTCAAGGCAGGACCCTTGAGACTTTTTTGCTTGAATATCCCAAAGCTATGTAAGTTTCCCTGGGACCTTTTCTAGTCCTTTGGCTTTCAGATAACTGGAGCTCCCTTGCACCCTTAGTCTGAATAACTTTCTGTCCCTTGGGAGTGAGTCTGCCAGTTGCTGGGGGCTTTGTATGACTGGAGCAAATCTTATATCTTTTCTAGGATTTTCAGTTTTTGCATTGTAAGGTCAGTGAAACGTTGGATTGCTAGGTGAGATGCTAGTTTTAAGCAGGGGAGGGTGGATGTGCTTAGGGAGAAACTGTGTAAGTGGTACTTCATTTGTTAACTTTTGGACTTGTTACTGTTTGCTTCCTTTTATTACTCAGATAATGAAGATGGGCCACCACCACTACCCTGCCCTGTAACTGACAAAACTATATATATGATTGTGATTTATATGTGGTTATTTTGTAGCAATGAAGAAATGTGTGATCCATATTTTCAGACATTTGCACATGAAAGAATTAAAATGTATGTCACAGTTCTAAACTTTAAGAAAGGAAATGTGTAGACTAAAACAAGATTTTTGTGTCGTTTCTCCTCCAGGAGGTTTCAGTCAAGAGGAACTTCTGAAAATATGGAAAGGGCTCTTCTATTGTATGTGGGTACAGGATGAACCCCTTCTCCAGGTAACATCACAGTTCCCTGTGTCACCTCCTTGGATCTCTGCCATTGCTGGATAAAAGAGATTTGATCATTTACAGCCTGTCAACTCCCAATCTACCTAAACAGATTGGAAATCAGCGCTTGACAAGTCATTTTCTCATCTTCAGTAGCCTGTACAGAAAGGAATGTGGTGTCTAAATGGTTAGGTTAATTATCTTTTCAAATAAAATGAAGGATACACATGAGCTATAGGTTTATTTTTTTCTCTGTCACAGTTTCATAGATTCCATGGTAGCTTTTATATTACTTATGTTAAAGTTTCTGTTTTATCTTCTGTTAAGTTTATTACATATGGTCACAAATGACCTATAAGACCCTGTGGCCCCAGGACAAGGCAGCCACCTGCAGGGCTGCAGGTCCTTTACAACAAGCAGCCAGGTTCTGAGCTAAAGCCTCTCTGACCATCTAAGCTCGGGGGACAGCTACATTGGTTCATCAGCTGAACAGGCTGAGTTCCACTGCTAAAACTATTGTAGGAAGTTATTTTCACTTTTAGAATGATGTATGAAAGTAGCTCTGACTTTGTAGAAATGGAAGGATAAGCCTAGAAAACTATTTGCAAACCTTTGATGTGTACAAAGTCTTCATGGGTCAATTTTACTTTTCTGGGTTTTAATGTGCAGCCTTGCCACTTCTCCCAAACCATATCATAACTAATTTTGACTTCATATTTTTACTTCACCAAATATATTTTGAGTAGGGTAGCAGGACAGATATTTTCAGATTTTATTCAAAAGTGAAGACCAACTGCTTTAGTGGAGGAAGAAAACTGATGAGCAAGAACATTATTTTCAAGTTCAGGAGTTCATTTAAAATGCACCAGCAGAGACCAGCAGATGGCATAGTGGTTACATCACTGAACTTTCTCACATGGTCCACCATAGTTCAAGTCCCGAACCCAGTGGCTTTAAACTCACACCGAATCCATGTGTGCGCGTGCCCAGGGTCTCAGGAGGAGAAGGGATTGCATCGTGGCCAGGATCCATGTGTGCGTGTGCCCAGAGTCTCAGGAGGAGAAGGGATTGCATCGTGGCCATTCCCCCTGAAAGGTCATTTCTCACTTTCCCTGGAGAGTGCACACGCCGTGAGGCAAAATCCTCTTTAAAAAAATAATAAATAAGAAAGTAAAATGGACCAGGAAAACTGAGGTTAGGTGGAATGTGAATGAGACCAGTGAGGACTGCTCTTTTTACCTCATGAAAGAATGCTTCTGGTGACACTCCCCAAGGTAGGCTTCTAGGCTAGGCTACAGGATTCTCCCCATAGACAAACCTGCTGCTCAAGGCAATGCCTGGACGAGTGGTACTTAACCTCCAGAGAGGGGTTCCTGGTACCACAAATTGAGCCTTCCTAGAGTGAGAACCCCCAGTGTCCAACTACCATGGAATCTATTCTGCTATCTCCTGTGCTTCACATTATGGGATGTTATAATAGACTCTCAAGTTAAAGTTTTAAAGCCAGGAGTGGGCAGCTATTTTGTCTTCTGTAGGTCATTTGAACTGAAAACTAGAGATGCTTTTTAAACACACAACCAGTTCTCAGAGACATAATCAAAGTAGCATGAGTCCATTATATTCAGGGATTTCACGTTCAATAAAATCCAGATACTCAAATACACACACCTCTTAGTGGAAGTAACCTTAATCAGGCACAGAATCTCCCACCAGCACTTAAAAGAAGAGGAAGCAGCAGCCTTCTAAGTGTTGCCACATAATAACCCCAATGTTTCTCCCCAACCCACCTTTGCAGGAGGAGCTAGCGAACACTATTTCCCAACTCATCCATGTTGTTAACAACTCAGAGGCTCGTAAGTCCTGATATTTTCATGACTTTGAAAACTTCCTTGTTCATCAGATTTGATAACTTGCCTATGAGATCTAGTCAGCATTGTTTCTTCTCCTTCCTTCGAAGTTTTGGTTTTCCATGTGCTTGTTTAATATAACCTTGTATACAGATAGCGGGTAGATATCAGGCAGCAGGCCATTTCTGTCTTAAAAAGCTGTGATAGACTTAGGCATTGACATAGTTAAGAAGGTAAAGAAGGTGCCTTGTGGGGCATCATATTTGGTATCTTAAAGATTCCCGAGAAATGTTTTTAGAAATAATAGTCCAAAGTCTCTAAATCCTGAGTTATTTTACCACTCTTCAAAGCTGTGTATATGTGTGCAAGAGTTTGCAGAACATCTGGGCACCAGGGTTATTCTCCAAAAAATTAGAGCCATCTCTGGTAATAAATAGAGATACCTCTGACAGTGAACTGTAAGGTATTTCCTCTGTGCCAAAAAGAAAAGGCAAAGAAAAAATAAGGTATTTCTGAGCTCGCCAGGGTTCAGTTACTTATAAAGGAAGGAAAACACAACAGAAGTAGTTGGTTCTGCTTACGCACCTTAGGACACAACCGTCCCAGTGACTTTAATAACCCTCAATGGTTCTCTGAACTTTAGCTGACTCGTAATGAACAAAAGTCTATGTATGCTACATAGTATAAATTGTACAGAAAGAAATAAAGCAACAAAAACTATATTTTTAATGAAAAAGTGACTCAAAGAACGAAATAGAATATTTTGTACTATAGCCCACACAGGTGGCACCCACTTTCAGACAAAAAGTGAGTTTCTACATGGATCTCGGTGTTCATTAGAGTTAACGGTTTGGGGCTGGATTGTTAGGTACAGGTGTGGTTTATAGGGAATCCTTGGGTTTGAATAGAAACGTGACTACAATGGATGGAGAAAAATGCTACCGAAAGCATTCTAATTGAACATTAAGAGACTACCAGCCTTCCTGCTAATGATAATAACTTTGTTTAAATGCAAAACATTATTGAGCATATTTAATTGTTGGCCAAATGTTTTAGTTGCCCAAGGATTCTCAAGCAAATTAAATGATAAATAATACTAGTTTGTTTTTCTTCATTATTCTCTTGCTATACAATTACATGTTAATATGAAAACCAAGCATTCAGAACCTTTTATTCACTACAGAACACCTGTTCATTCAGACATTTTGGCAAACTATGAATCGAGAATGGAAGGGAATAGACAGGCTACGCTTGGACAAATACTACATGGTAAGCACGCCTTTATCTACATTTACTTCAAAAGCACATGTGAAAAAAAAATGTTCTGTGTCTTGAAAACAATGGAAGGTTTATTCATGAAGCAAAGCCAGATCCAGGCTTTACTGTCATGAAAGGCAGGGGACATATGAATAATGCTGGAAGGAAGTCTCCTGTGTTCCAGCTCTTTTAGCTATTAGGGATGAATTTGGGAGCAATAGGGAACACTTTTATTTTTTTCCTTTTTTTTTTTTTTCTTTCTGTTTTGTGTTTGGTTTTTTTGTGGGTTTTTTTTTTTTTTTTGGGGTTTTAGGGTTTTTTTTTTTTTTTTTTTTTTTGGGTTTAATGTTTTTTTTTTTCTCTTTTTTTTTTTAAATTAATTTATTTGCATTCATTCACTGTACATCATTACAGCATACAAAATGAGATTTTTCCATCCAGAGTACACTGAATATTGTGGGAACACTTTTCGATATAGAATTTAAATAATATTTTGGACTTTTCACTTTTGGGATTCATGCTATACCAACTTCATTGTCTCATTCTCCTAAGCTGATTAAAATTCATTCCCTTTTGTAAAACCAAACCAAACCAAAAACTATCTGTCTTTAGCTGATCCGTCTGGTCCTGAGGCAGTCATTTGAAGTTCTGAAGCGAAATGGCTGGGAAGAAAGGTTGGTAGATTCTTTGAATTGGCATTTGTTAGCCTAAAAACTTAGAAGGTAGTAGAGTGTCTTCCAGTGTATGTAGTTCATCAAATATGAATTGTCTGATCAATGCTTAACATTCTGTAGAGTACTGTGAGAAACAAAATATATTCTTGCCCACAGAGAACTTAATTCAATAGACAGGAATAAAATGATTAGGCACGAGGTACTTTCAGAAAGTTTGTGGAAAATGGAATTGATATACAAGTTTATTTCAGTGCAAAAGTTTGAAATCCATGCCTGCTTTTTCCATAATGTGTGCTTCCATGAACTTTTTGGAGCCCTCCTCACATTAACAATTAACGTTTTCTGCTGATTGAAGTGCTTACTTTTTTTACTTGTACGTATATTACCTTGCATTGATTATACGTAGTGTAAGCACTGGCCTAATTACTTTTGTTTTCTCTGGGAGAAGAAAGAAGTATGTCATCAAGTGAATGTGTGTGTGTGTGTTTTTTTCCTTAGCCGAATCAAACTTTTTCTAGATGTCCTGATGAAGGAGATCCTGTGTCCTGAGAGTCAGTCTCCTAACGGAGTGAGATTCCATTTCATTGATATTTATCTGGATGAACTATCCAAAGTGGGGGGGAAAGAGGTAAGAAGTAGACATTGGGCAGCACTGTGGCAAGACCACAGATGCTCCTGGTTGTTAACGCTGCTTGTTGGTATTCAGTGTCACTGGTGAGGGTAGCAGCATAAATTTGTTCAGTCCCTCTTTGGCACAGTCACTTTGTTTGGGAACGTGTCTGTGCAGGTGATGACATGTGGAGAGGATATATCCACCAAGGATGTGTGTGCTGGCCTTACTTGTAAAATAAAATTGAAAGCAACTTAAAGAATCCAAGAGAGAATTTAAATGTGGAGACATGCTTAGGATGTACTGAGTTTTTAAATAGCAGTAGGGAAAAAAGGCAATAGACAAAACCACATGATTGGTAAAAGTTTTTTGTTTTTTAAAAGGTTTTTGCCTTTAGGTACGTGTACTCACTGTAGAAAGAGAGACAGACAGACAGACAGAGAGGGAAAGTAAGAAATCACCCCCTAGGGGGAGATGGCCACAGCACAGTCCCTTCTCTTCCATTCTCCTCCAGGGATCTTGGACACGCACACATACATACCTGGTGAGAGTTTCAAGCCACCGGGTCTGGGACTCGAACCATGGTCAACCATGTGGGAGTCCAGTGATGTAACTGCCATACCATCTGCTGGCCCCAGTATGAGTAATTTTTAAAATAAATATTCATACATAAATAGGCAAATGTCTGGGAAGGGGGAAGTATACTTTTTTTAGTATGCAAATGACTGTCTGAATTTGGGAATATAAGCAATTTTTACTTTTTTATTTTACAAATGTTCTGGAGTGAACCTGTATTTTTCTAATTAGAAGAAAATGTAAGCACTATATTAAAAATGATAATTCCTTAGTCTAGCACTTTCGGATTATGTCTACATAGAACTCAGAGAAGGGTGTGTGGGAAATGTAGGGCAGCACTGGTAGAAGGGAGCCCTGCGCTGAGGTGTTTGAGTGGGTGGAGGAGGCCGTGGATTTGAGCCTGGCTTCCGGCCTTGTGG